CTGACTGGGGATGGACAATGCTGGAACCGCAGCCGTATGGTTTTACCAGGACCTGTTTCCAAGGCAATGACAGTGATGGAAATCAGTGTGGAGATTTCCAAAAAAACTAAAACTAGAGGTTCCATTTGACCCAGCCATACCTCTTCTTGGTATCTCCCTGAAGAATTAAAAGCATCATACCACAACAATATATGCACACCCATGTTTATAACAATACAGTGTGCAATAGCTAACTTGGAAACCGCCCAAATGCCCATCAACTGACAAATGGGTAAAGAAGATGTGGTTTCTTTATATAATGGAGTACTACTCTGCTATAAAGAAGGATGAGCTTCAGACATTTATAGCTAAATCGATGGACCTTAAGATCAGGCTGTTGAGTGAAATAAATCAGACCCATATGTTTAAATACTGCACTGTTTCTCCGGTGTGAGAAACCTCAAGTGGAAATAAGGACTAAAATGTATAGTAGATACTGGTAAATTAGAAGAAAATGTTCAAATGGGAAGGGGAACAAGGGAGAAGAGAGAGAGAGAAAGGAAGAAAGGGACAAGAAAAAAGTGAAAATAGGAGGAAAAATACAAACAATACATAGGGAGGGAAGGGGGCTTGAGGGGGGAATGGGATAAAATAAAATTTAAATAAATAAATGCACTTATCCAACAACAACAAAAATACTCAGCATGGACTGAAAATGAGTCTAGCTGCTCTTAGCACAGGAATGAAAAGGTGTATTAAAAAGTCTGTTGGGGCTGGGGATTTAGCTCAGCGGTTCGGTGGCCTGCCTTGCAAGCACAAGGACCAGAATTCAATCCTTGGTACCAAAAAAAAAAAAAAAAGTCTGTTAATTATGATAAAAGTGAGTGGGATCATACAGGGCAAAGAAGAAAATTCAGCTTTGTTTCATAATGGATTAGCAGAGGCCTTCTGCAAGTATGCTAATATAGGCCCATCTTCCAGGAAGGTTGAGGCACTAATGCGACATCATTTCATCTGAAAAACAGCCCCAGATATTCAGTGTAAGCTACAAAAATTTCAGATGGGGCTTCAGACACCTATAACCCAATTGCTGGACACGGCCTTTTCTGTGTTCAACAATCAGGACCCAGAGGAGAGAGAAAAGAGAAAGGCTAAGATTATAGTTGTCGCAATTGGTAATGCTGTAAACCTACCTAGGTCACCTAAGGAAAAACCAAGGGACAACTGGTGAAAGGGCTCCTGTTTCAAGTGTATGAAGACTGGGCACTGGGCACAAGATTGCACCAAGCCTCCACCTGGACCCTGCTCTAAATGTGAGGCAGCCAATGTGCCTGACACATGACACTGGAAGTTGGATTGTCCCCGCTCCCGAGAGAGGGCAGGCCAGACAGAACCCTCATTTCCTGCTCTGAGGACTGAAGAGACCCAGGGAAACTTGCAATGCCCCTGTCCACAGACATCACCATCTCCTCTGAGGAACCCTGGATAATCTTGGACATCATGGGCAAGCCAATTCAACTACTTATAGATACAGGGGCAGCTCATTCTGTTTTGATTTCCTTGGAAAAGTCTCCTCTATAGCCATAGTTGGGGTTGAAGGGCCCCCTAGTTGGAGATTTTTTTTTTTTCTTGGTAATGGGAATTGAACTCGGGTCCTTGTGTTTGAGAAGCAGATGCTGGAACCACTGAGCTAAATCCCCGGCCCTCTAGTTGGGATTGTTTACTCTTCCTCTGATGTGTCACTTCAAAGGTCAAATATTTAACCATGAGTTTCCAAGTGTCTCGCAGTGCCTTACTCCCTTGCTAGGAAGAGATTTATTAACAAAATTGGCGGGCCAGGGATGTAGTTGAGCAGCACAGCGCCTGCCTAGCAAGTGAAAGGCCCTGAGTTCAATTCTCAGTATGAGAAAAAAAAATTGAGGGAAATTCTCAAATTCCAACTAAGGCCAAAACGCAGTTTACTTGTTGAGACCACACCAGGTCTCCCTGATCAAATCAGCCAACAGGTAAATCCTGCTGCATGGTATAAGGGATTACCTGGTAGGGCAAATTCACCTATGTAATTATAAGACTAAAAGACCCCAGGCGATTTCCTAATCAAAAACAGTACAGGAAATCCTATAACTCCTAGGGGCAGTCCATCTTCCAAGACAGGTCACAGTCATGCACTCTAAAGGACATCAGGGAAATATTTCTGAAAATGCCTTGAAAAATCAAAAGGCTGAAAGGGAGGCAAAATGGGCAGCCTGACAACCCCTTAAGACTCTAGCGTTATTCCCAGTTCTTGAGGAACCATTAAAAGGAGGATAAATGGGGAATTAAAAGAGGACTCTGGTGGTATCTAGGAAACAAACTGGTCCTTTCCCAAGGCAGGCTATAAACACACTTCATGATTCCTTCCATATGGGAAGAGATGCTGTATTGGAAAGGGTCACTCAAGTTTTCACAGTATTAAGACTAGCAACAACTACCAAACAGGCTGGCAAAGCTTGCCCACTCTGTGCCTACCAACAACCCAGGGAAACCCAAACCACCTCCTTTATTAGAACTTATACAGAGGAGAGAAAAATACCCCGGAAAGGACTGGCGATTAGACTATACCCATGTGCCACCATGTAGAGGATTTAAACAGATGTTCATCCTAATATGGGCTGGATTGAAGTCTTTCCTATCTGTTCAGAAATGGATACAGAGATAGTCAAGTATTTCCTAAAGAAATCGTCCCTAGATTTGGTCTCTCCAGAGTGACAATGGACCTTCTTTTACCTCTCAAATAACTCAAGGAGCGGCAAAGACTTTAGGAATGAAGTATTGCCTTCACTCCACTCGGTGGCTTCCATCTTCTGGAAAGGTAGAGAGAAGCAACCAGACCCTAAAATGAGCTCTGGAAAAACTTTGCCAAGAGATATTTGAGTCTTGGCTGTGATTGCTACCAATACAAATCATGAGGTTTTGTAACAACATGCCCAAAATTGGGATAAATTTGAGCCCAGTTGAGATGTAATATGGAAGGCCATTTCTCATATGATGGTAGACCCAGAGATTATAAGTCTCTTATAATATCTCATCAATCTGGGCCAAGTACAACAGGCTATCCAAATACATGGGAACAGAATCCTGCCAGCTCCTGGCCCAGTGAACAACTAGTGTCCACCCACAAGCCAAATGCTTATAAAAACTTGGAGAAAAGGGCTGGAGGTGCAACTCAGCACAAGGCCCTGAGTTTGACTCCCAAATTAAAAAAAAAAAAAAAATGGAGAAAGGAAACACCAGCTGACTAACTAAAGCAAAAATGGAAAGTTCCCTTTTCAGTGAGCCTCGCAATACCCTCTGCAGCAAAAGTAGCAGAAGTAGATAATTGGGTTCATCTTTCTAGAACAAAACTAATCCCGATTGAACTGCCTAAAGAACAGGATTACCCAAGCCAGGCATGGTGGCACACACCTGTAATCCAAATTTGGGAGGCTGAGGCAGGAGGATCACTGTGAGTTCGAGACTGCCTGGGCTACACAGTGAGTTACAGGTCAGTCTCACTACATAGTGAGACCCTGTCTCAAAAGAAAAGAAAAAAGAACAAGATTACCCAAAAGCAAAAAAACTGTATCTGTGAACCTCTGGAATTGAAATTTCTCTTCAAAAAGCAAATTTCCAGCACTATTACAGATAAGTAAACAAAACTTTGCTAAGGCTAAGGGTCTTAGATTCCCCCGCCACACACACCCCATACCAGATGTCAAACTCAGGACCTTTGTTATTATTATTATTATTATTTTGTACCGGGGATTGAACTTGGGAGCTTGTGCTTGCAAGGCCCTCTTATAGTCCTGATAATTTATCTGACATTCTGTTGGGAGAAATTCTACATAATTTGGGGGGAATCATCTCATAATTAAGTTATGATTAGGCCTGGTTTTCCTGTCTACAGGCCAGCTATGGCCTGTAAAGACCTAACTCTATTTTTGCCTTCGGTCACAACTAAAAGCTCAACAACTCCATGATGCTGTGACACTCCAAGGCAGGACTGCATTAGCTGAAAACATCCTGGTTGCCTGAGAACCAAGTAGTAAGAGAAAGGTTTCACCTGGGGAGGGACAAATTCCTTATCAGCTTAACTTCTCCTACCTTCTATTATAATGCTCTCCTTACAGTCCTCTTCAACATAAGAACCTCCTGATTTAAGATCTTCAGCAGCACAATATCCTCATCTACATAGGATTACCTCTGCCCCCTATGTCACATGATACTGCCTCCAATTATTGTGTGTACCCAATAAATAATGGCTAGCTCAGAGAGTGTCTTTATCCACACTGAGGCAGACCTCCTGGCCACCTATATACTTTGAAATTACACAAGTCTCTGTTGTCTGTTTTTAGCCCTTGCCGTCCCCTTTTCCAGGCAGTTGGAGGATTGATCGCCCTCCAATAACATACCTCTCTAACATACATTCTTCTCTACAGGAAGCATGGAAGTCTGACCTGCTCCTCACGTCTGGACTATTAGTAAAGTTTCTTTCTCCCATCAAACAGGCAGCTCGAGGGTCACTAACTGTTCTTGTTGTTTGGTCCTGGGAATCAAACTCAGGTCCTTGCAATCGGGAGGCAGGCAGCGGAACCACTGAGCTAAATCTCTGGCCCTGCTAACTCTTTTCTCATTTATTTTCTGACAGATTTTTCTTCCCTCAACCCATCCACAAGCCACAACACCTCTAGGTAGTTGGAGAGTATATAATCCCTAATAGGTAGGGTCTACAGCTCCTTGTAGCTTGAAAAAGCTACAGAAGACAGAGACCTCCACTCTTTCAGCATGCCACAAAGATTTATGGGATTTCTGTCTCTCCATGGGGAGATGTAATAGGACGTAGGGCATGGCAAAGCTGCCTGGGGAAATGAGCAGGACCTGTCAATTACAAGATCCCAGGGCAATACAAGGACCCTGTATGTAGAACCCTGTGAAGAGCCATTCTACATAAATTTGGGGGGAAAAATAATTAAAGTATGACTGTAGCTAAGGCCCAATGTCACCTTGCGCAAGAGCTGGCTAAGGCATGCGGAAACGTAACTCTATTTTGCCTCTGGTCACAGTTGAGGCCTCAATGATCCTGTGATATTGTGATGCTCAAGGGCAGGAGTACATCCGATGAAGACATCCTGGTTCTCCGAGAACTGAGTAGTAATAAGAAAAAAAGAGAGAGAGAAAAAAGTTTCACTTGGGGGAAGGACAGATTCCTTATTAGCCTGCTATCTTGGACCACCTATTGCAGGAATGCTCTCCTTACCACTCTCATCAACGTAAGATTCTCAGAGACCTAAGATTCTCTTCCACAGCCCCCTAAATCACCTTATACTCCCAGTGCTCATGGTACATACCCAATAAATAGGCTTGCTCAGGAGTGTCTTTGTTTTTGCACTGACCTCCTGGCCACCCAAGTACTATGAAACTATGCAAGTCTATTGTCTTTATTTCTTTACCCCCTTTCAGACAGTTGATCACCCTCCAATACGGTCCAACCTCCCACAGATGGTATAAAAGAAGAGCAGCCATCATGGAAAGCCACTATCCAGCATGAGTTTTCACAGTTGCCTGAGCCATGTCTGAGTGTGGTGTGTACTTTTGATTTTGCTTTTACCTTCTTTTTCTCTTTTTTTTGGTCCAAATTCACTCTGCAGAGCTGATTTGTCCCATATCCTTTTTACCCCACACTTTTCAAGTAAATTTTTTGGCACTGTTACTGTCCAGTTCTTTGTTCAAGGAAAGAAAAACCTGGAATACTTTTGATTGGTGAGCCTTTTTTTTTTTTTTTTTTTT